GCAGATCTTCCCAATCTGCAGAAGAAGGGCCAAGAGAGACTAGTACCCGCGGCGGGAGTTGCCTCGGTGGTGGCCCCGTTATCCTCTCTCCATGCCACAGGCTGTCAGCGAGCGGTGGCCTCCTGCAAGGGTACGGAGAGCTTCCCAAGCCACCTTAGTCATAGCCAAGGGGGGGCTGATAAACATGTAGAAAGTACCAGGTAGATGGGAACACTCTTTTTTCGGTGGTGCCCAGTGACAGGACAAGCGGGAAAGAGGACAAACTTGAACATCGGAAGTTCCATCTTAACATGAGGAGGCACGTCTTTCCTGTGAGGGTGGCAGAGCACTGGCACAGACTGCCCAGAGAGGTGGTGGAGTCTCCCACTCGAGATATTCAAAACCCACCTGGACGCCGTCCTGTGCGACTGCTGTAGGTGCCCCTGCTCTGGCAGGGGGTGGCACTGGGGGAGCTCCAGAGATCCCTTCCAACCCTGACCAGTCTGGGATTCTGTGTTTTCTGTGGCCTGCCCCGTGACCGCATGCCCCAACCTGTTTATAAAGTCTTACGTTGCGATTACGTGCCTTAAGACCTTGCTGCTCACAAGGCCAAGAAAGGATGGCACTGATTTTGGTGACACTTTCAAAAAGGCTACCCCTTGCTCCGTAAGCAGCTCAGGCAAGGGCACCTCGCCCATGGCCTCCCATTGTGCCAGAAGAGTTCATCTTCCCCTCCAGCCCAGTTCGGCAAAACCTTCTGCCCAGCTTCAGGCGCTTTCTCCTGCTCCTGCACAGGGTTCTCTCTGCAAATCCCTGCGTCGTCTTGGTGAGAGACACCAGCTCCGTGCCTCAGCCTGCCTCTGGGCAGAGGATTTCCAACCTCTGCCAGCCCCTGGGGCTGCAAAGCTGCTGTGGAGGGATGGGTGAGCTGTAGCAATAGCTGCTGTGGAGGGATGGGTGAGCTGTAGCAATAGTTGCTGGGCTGCTTTATTTTGGAACGCAAACCCCATGTACCCTTCAGGGGCCAACAGGCCCCAGGGCAGCTGGTGTGGGAAAAACAACCGTCAGGTCCATACGTGACCCGGGACTTCTGCTTGGGAACACATTTAGGAGGGGGCTCCTGCAGCAAAATTATTTTTTCTGGTTCATAGTGGGTCAAAAAAGACTTTGCTTTACAAAAAGTGGCTTTGCTTTGCAAAGGGAAATTCAAATGTATAGAAACATTTGGCTGGGGACTCACTGCACTGGAGCCCATGGGTCCCCTGGGCTGAACACATGTTATTAGTAGCTGGGAATATCTTTTTTTCCCAGTGGGAAGCGTGTCGGTCTGGAAGCGCTGGCTTTTTTTGAGGGAAAAAAGGCCGATTTTTTGTAAGTGAAGGATCCCCGTGCATGGGGGTTTGCATGACCCGACCCCCGTGCACCGGGCAGCGTGCCTGGCCCTGTCCCCGGGGGGAGTATTGCACTTCCCACCCCCAGGCTCCGCGCAGCCCGGTCCTCCCGGCCGCCAGGCGGCGCCCTCGCCCGTGCCCCGCGGTACTCGGCGCGGCTGGCGCCCCTTCCTCCCCGCCTGCAGCCTGGAGCGGCCCGGCGGCCCCTCCTGGCGGAAGCGGAAGTGGAAGCGGCCCGGCGGGGCGGCTGGGCAGCATCGCCGCCGCGGAGCGCCGTGAGTACCGGGGTGGGTGAGGACCCTCGTGGAGGCCGGGGTTCCCGGGGAAAGTGGCTTCCCGGGAGCGGCGCCGCCGCTTCCTCCGTCCTCTGGGGAGGGAAGAGGAGAGGGCTTGCCCCGGGGTGGCCTGGCTTTCCGCCCCCGGACAGGCCTGCCCGCTGCCCCCGGCGGTGGAGGGCCCCTCCTGGGGTCTGCCCGCTTCCTCCGACCTCGGCGGCGAGGGCGGGCCCGTGTCCGTTCACCCCGCTGAGGCCCGACCTCCCCCTCCGGCGCGCCCTGCGGTTATGAGACGTCCTACTGTGTTGTAGTGCTGGAGGGTCCCCTGAGCTGGTGTGAAGGATGGGGCGGTCTCTCTTCGTTGGCTGCAGGAAGGTGGAAATAAAATGCTTCACGTGGCAGAAGGTGGCTGCGGTAGAGATCCCGCAGTGATCTCCGAGGGCGCAGATCCTCGCGTTACCCTTGGCTAACATCACTTTGACGGGTGGCAGTTCTCTCTCTTTTCTCCTTAAAGTCTGCTGCTTTTCGATTTTTATCTCTTCTCGGGGTGGGGGGAGTGTGAGAAGTAGGTCGGGTTAAGACATACCAGCATCTGGGTGTAGGTGGGGAAAGGAATTTTTTTTCTTCATTGGAATTCTGCAAATTAGGTGAGAGTTTTCTGATTCAGGTTTGAAGTCTCATTCTCAGTTTCTAACACTGAGCAGAGCACTGTTCTGTGGATGGGTTTGGACTCCTTGTTTTACAGGGCTGTTTAACTTGTGCGATGTTTTTGTGTTGTAAATAGCTCAGATGAAAGACCTGTGTTTGTTGTGTTTCTGTTGTCAAAGGTGGAACCAAAGTTTTAATCCAGACTTGCCCTGTTTTGCCTTTAGCAGATTGTGTTAAAATGGGTTTGGTCCAAGGTGTAGATCTTTTCGTTTTCACTCATCTGTGATGAGATGTCTCAGATGTGGTGTAGAGAAGCAGGAGAGCCAGTCTGTTAGGGAGCTTTGTCGTGGGCAGCTGTGCTGTGCAAGCCTGTGCCTTGAGGCTCTGGTCCTTGCATGGACAATGGGAATGCTTTATTTAGTCCATATTTATGTTTTTGTTAGGCTCAGGCCACCAAGCTCTGCCCTAGTGGTGTGCAGAACAGTTGTGCAGCCTTTCCGTTCATATTTAGAAAAAAACTCTCCTTTTGTGGATTGACAATCCTTACACCTTGGTCTTTCCAGTAATAAACTATGTGGCAGGAGTTTATAGCTTGGATCCTTTTGGATTTGCCATCAGATCTGGGATTTACAGTGGAAAGACTCTGTTTCCTCTTGCCAGACATCTGGGCTGGTAATTCCAGCTCAGATATACTTTGTAAAACACAGCTGGCTGCAGGAAGACATATCTGTTAAATTCAGGAGGATAAGACTTACGCTGCAGATAAATCAATTCGGAAAATGCTTTTTTCACTGTCTTTCCTTTCTTCTGGTACCGCCTAACTCTTCTGGAAGAGTGTCATCCATACAGTATTTGTGATTATATCCCTGAGATGATATAATAATGGTGATCATTGCTAGACCCTTCCAAGCTTTGTTTGAAAGGAGACATGAACAAACCCAAGAAATTCTAGGACCATAATGGGATAAGACCCATTGTGTGTGGTCTGGTGATTCCAAAGCAACTACTAATATTGTTGGCAATTGGTTGTCCCAGATTTTGCCGCAGTCCTAATCATCCCCCGTTCTGATGTCAGTTATAGCAAGGTGATATTCTGGCAATTCACAGGGAGGAAGATGCAGGTAGGAGCTTAACAGGGAAGAATTTATCCACTTCATGAACTGAAATGAGTAGTTGGTATGTTGGGGGTGGGAAAGGCAAACAACAATAAATCTGTGTGGCTCTATAAAATGCTTAGTTCCATTTTGAAAGGCTGAGTGTTGGCAGCCTGTTTTCCACAGCAGAAATCTCTTTCTTAGGCTTTTCATTCTGCTGTTTTTTTTCCCCAATGAACTGGTGGTTTTCTTATAGTGCTTTTGCTGTGGTATGTTTTGGGAATCTGCAGTGAATGTTTGCTGGGCTACTGGAAGGCAATGCTGAACCTCTGCTATTCTGTTCTTCCAGAAACATGCAACATGGCAGCAGCCATGGAAACTGAACAGCCGGGCCTTGAAATCTTTGAAACTGCGGGCCATGAGGAGCAGGTCCAGAGAGAGGAGCAGCCAAAACTGGAACCGTTCTATGTAGAGAGACATTCCTGGAGCCAGCTTCGGAAACTGCTCACAGATACACGGAAGTATCATGGGTACATGATGGCAAAAGCCCCTCATGACTTCACATTTGTGAAGAAAAATGATCCTGAAGGACCTCATTCCGATAGGATCTACTATCTGGGTAAGCTTGCTGTGACAGCCTGTGCCTTGACTAAAGTCAGTCCAGAGACTGTTCGGGTTTGACTGTTCTTGAGAGCTCGATGTTTCTGGCAGTTAAATCAGAATGTGTTTCAGGCTAGACTGGCTGGTCAAATGTCATGATCACGATTGCAATGTCTCTTTAAAACTTGCGGTGTAATCTCCCACAGAAATGGTGTGGTTGGAGGTGACCCATTAGGCCTGCTGGAGCTGGAAAAGAACTGTGAAGTGTCATTTAGGGCATGTTCCCTAGCTGGGAGGACAGGTTAAGTCTGTTTGGTTGGTTTTCTCTCGCTCCAAGTACGATATCCCCTCTCCTAAAGCTATGTCAGTTTGATCTCCTTTCTCTTATAACTAGTGGGTAGAACCTTTTTCTCCTTCAAAGTTTCATTCCAAAACAGAGATTATAAATGGAATTTTGAAATTCCTGTGTGCCTCAGCTACTGATAGAGTAGGTTTTCCAGGGATTCTGGAGGGAATAAATAGCAGTGTAGGGCGGGGGCAGCTTAAAGGGTAAATGTTTTTCTCAACGTTTTTGGTCTTGATAATGAAGAACTTAACGTAATATATTGTTCTTGGCCTCAGTGCCTCACTTCTGCATTGTTTCACTAACTAGTGTTTATTTGATATACCTGCATTTCTGAACCACACCTCTGCTTGAAGTGATTTGCCACTGTCGATGATACCGTGAGCAACCTTCTGTGTGGCTTTTTGGAGCAGGCCTTGTGTCAGAGGAATGCTTTTGTCAAAAGCTGCACTAGCGGAACATAAGTCCATGAAAAACTGGACCGGGGGAGAAGCAAAGGCCTAGGAGCCAGAACCATGTTCTAGCCCTATTGCTTGCTGCTTAGGCTAGTTGTTTAAGTTCTGATTTGTGATTCACAGAATCTTTGTGTGTGCTGTGCAGTGATGTAGTTGAAAAGCTGTTGATCTGTCTCTTTTTCCCCTTTTCGGAGGATGGGCGTCATAATCCTTGAATGATGCTGAGTTCAAGCACGTTGTGGGTGGGTTAAGGCTGCCCCCAGCTGAGATGAGCTCTTCTTTCCTGTGTGCCACTTCCTGAGCTATAGGTCAGACTTGAACTTCCCCTCGTCACATCTGGCACCCTCTGGGCTGATCCCTGTGTGCCTTGGCAGGAGCTTTCAGAAATCTGAGTAACACTAAGGGAGAGGAGCAGGACAGGGACATTCAAAGCTTCCTAAAGGTGCATTATCTTTGAAACATAAAATGTGTCAAGCTGTATTCCAGCCACGGGAATTAGCAGAAAGGCCTTCCTTGATTTTAAAAGCTTATAAAATAAAAGGGCCCCTAGCCTGCAGGAAGACACAGATATGCTTCAGGCAGCATGGGGTAAGCGTGGGTGTATTTCCTTGTTCTTTACCTTCTCTGTGACTTGGATTTCTCTGAAGGAGGGAATTCCCAGAGCAAGGCTGCAGTGCAAAGACTGGCAGTACTTTCTCTGGTAGGAAGAGCCAGTGAAACTGTTCCTCGGTATCCTTTGAGAGCGTTTGGATTGTTAACAGAAAGCTAATATACTTTTTTTTTTTCTTCTCACTTTCACAATAGCAATGTCTGGGGAGAACAGGGAGAACACGCTCTTCTACTCTGAAATCCCCAAAACCATAAACAAAGCTGCCGTCCTGTTGCTTTCCTGGAAGCCTCTTTTGGATCTTTTTCCGGTGGGTCCTGATTTCTTTCTTGCTTCTTGGCAGCATGGCAAGTACACAGGCTTTGGGGTTGTACCTATGAGCCGTCATTAAGGTTTGGAGTTTATGATCTTAAACATTTTAAGATTCTTCTGGTACTTGGCTAACTCTGTAGCCATCTCAAAAACGAGCATGGCTTTCTCAGCAGTGTTTCGAGTTACAGCCTTTGTGCATCATAAAAACTGTGTGTGCTGGATGATTCCTCCTTTGTCAGCAGAGATTGCAAGTGCTAATTTGCATCAAATTCTCAGCTGTGAGATCCTGGGGATTGCTGAAGGAGCCTGCAGTCTACAATAATCACTGTCTTGCAGGGGAAAGTGATGAGCCCCCCCTGAGGATCAGTCAGTGGCTCTGTGACTCATGCTGGAGCAGAGGATCCCTTTCCCACTCACTGGGATGTATACCCCCTTTTTGCCTCTGTACATGGCAAGCCCACACCAGTCCCACCCCATGCACCATGGCACATTGGAGGAGGTGGGACAAACCCCATGTGGAATTAGGTGTGTTTTTTCCCATGTTATTTCCTGAGGCTGTGAGCCAGACTTAAAATTCATGCTGTGCTCTCCTCCCACCAGACCAGTCACCGTGTATCTTTGCAAAAGTTCGCAAAAAGTCTCCTGCTCGTTCTCAAAATAACAGACCTTCAGTCTGGTCTTTCTTACACCAGTGGATACTGGAAATAATGCCAGCCTTGCTATGGAAGAAGTGGCTATCAGGTTTATAGTTGTGTAGGATCTGTTCATGGCCTGCACCTACAAGTGCTGATGGCAGAGGCACGAGCAGGAGCTGGCTTCTAGCCGCCAGCAGGATTCTGGAGGAGGAGGGTGTCTGCACAGCCATCTGCTCCTGGAAGCTTGGCATGCAGAGACGCTCTGACAATATAGTAGGACATGCAGAGCAGAGGGGTTGATTCTGCTTCTCTGCCCGTATTCAGGCCATCCTCGACTATGGGATGTACTCTCGCGAAGAGGAGTTGCTGAGGGAGAGGAAGCGAATTGGCACCATTGGGATTGCCTCTTATGACTACCACCGAGAAAGCGGCACCTTTCTGTTTCAGGCTGGGAGTGGAATTTATCATGTAAAAGACGGAGGCCCTCATGGATTCACTGTGAGTTTACTCATCTCTCCTCCTGTCTCACTGCAGTACTTCGCTCTGGCTAGACGCTCCTTTGGCTTGGAGTAAAAGCAAAAGAGCGTGATCATCAGTTATTGCTGCACTAGCACAGCAAGTAGCCTTCATAACCCTTGAAACATGGAGAAGTCTTCCATAGGGATGCATTTTCATGGTTGTAGAAACTCATGGAGAATTACAAGAGTGGTAGAAGCTGTGGTAGCAAGGCAGGACACCAGATTTTGTTGATTTTTTGTAAGCAGCAATGCCAATAAAAA